CTATATCATTCAAAGTCCAAATTTTTGAGCAGGTGGATAATGGGCTCAAAATTCAACAAGATAAATTTAGAGTCTCGACTTCAGTGTTGAAAATCACCTGTGTGTCCTACAAGGCTTCTAGAGTGCCAGCGATGTTCCATTGCTCAGAGTGAGGACAAGTTACATAGGCACACATGTAAATGGAACCAATTTTGTCATTTTCTGTATGAAAAATATACTTTGACAGATAGTTTTTTTTAAAAAGCCCTCAGTGTTAGCTCAGTTGGTTAAGTGGCCCTTGATTTCGGCTCACATCATGATCTTGCAGTTCATGGGACGGAGTCCCTCCTTGGGCTCTGTGCTGAGGTGTGGAGGCTGCTTGGGATTCTCTCTCCCTCTCCTCTCTCTCTACACCTCTCCCCCCGCTTATGCTCTCTGTCTCAAAATAAATAAAATAAACATGTTTTAAAGACAAAAATAAAGTCACTTGCATAACAACAGGATGGGGAAGATGTAACTTCACTAATGGGACACCCACTTGAGGGTTTTAGTTTCTTATAAACACCATATGAGTTGACAGCTGGCCAAAAAGCCAATGGAAATTTGGGCCATACGAATAGACACACTCAACCAGAATGAGGAAACTGACAGTTCCATCCACCTGAGGGTGAGCCAGATCAGACTCGGGAAAGCTATAAACAAAGGAGAGCATGTTCACAAACCTCAAAGTCACATCTTATAAAAATCCGTAAAAGGAACAGGGGGTTGTTAGCCTAGAGAGAAGAGGTGGGAGCAGAGGTTATAGGCATGACAGCCTCAGTGAAATACCAGAATGAACAGATAACCTTATCATCTGCAAATAAGGTTATTTTCTACACGAAAGCCCTAAAAGCACCGACTGAAAAAATATGAGACAGTAAAATGGCTTTCCACAAAATTAATACATAAAAACTTAAAGCCATCCTTTCAAGAAATAAACAGGACTTATATGGTAACAGAAAAAAAAAATCTGTAGCTTTCCTAAAGGGCATAAAAGAATACTTGCCCAGGGGTGCCTGGGCGGCTCATTCGGTTAAGCGTCTGGCTTTAGCTCAAGTCATGACCTCACGGCTCTTGAGTTCAAGCCCCGTGTCGGGCTCTGTGCTGACAGCTCAGAACCTGGAGCCTGCTTCCGATTCTGTGTCTCCCTCTCTGCCCCTCTCCCAGTCATGCTCTGTTTTTCTCTGTCAAAAATAAACATCAAAGAAAACATTAAAAAAAAAAAAAAGAATACTTGCTCAGTAGAGACAGGTGCCATTGGCCTGCTTAGACAAAACTCATGACAAGGGAATCAGTTTGGCCCAAATGAATTTTTTTAAATTGTGGTAAAATATACAGAAGATACAACTCACCGTATCAGCCACTTTTTAGTGTATGGTTCAGTGACATTAATCACATTCACATTACCGTGCACCCGAAACCACCATCCATCCCTATGACTTTTTCCATCTCCCCAACCGAAGCTCTGGACCCATTAGACAATGACTTCCCCCTTCTCCCTTCCCTCCAGCCCCTGGCTAAATTGGGGGGGGGGGGGTTGTTTTTTAATGTTTTTCATTTGTTTAAAAAAAAATTTTTTTTTCAATGTTTATTTATTTTTGGGACAGAGAGAGACAGAGCATGAACGGGGGAGGGGCAGAGAGAGAGGGAGACACAGAATCGGAAACAGGCTCCAGGCTCCGAGCCATCAGCCCAGAGCCTGACGCAGGGCTCGAACTCACGGACCACGAGATCGTGACCTGGCTGAAGTCGGACGCTTAACCGACTGCGCCACCCAGGCGCCCCTCATTTGTTTAATTGTGGTAAAATACACACAAAATCTACCGGCTTCATTATTTTCAAGTGTCCAGTTCCATGGTATTAAATACATTCACAATGTCATACAACCATCACCGCCATCGATCTCCAGAATTCTCTGCATCTCGTGAAACCGAAACTCTCTACCGATCTACGATATTAATCAATGTTGGAGGAATCTATTTTTGAGCTCTAGTGGGAAAGCTTGACCGAAAGTTCTTAAATGTGATGTGTACGACTGAAAATAACCGAGAACGTTTTGCAAAAGATGAGCAATTTGAGGAAGGACTTGTTCTCTCGTATATGAAGCCACACTAGAAAGCTAGGATCAAAACATTGCGTAACTGGCACAGAATCAGATTGCTGGAACACAATAAACAGCTTGGAAAGTCACCCTTCTTCACCGACGAGGCTCAGAGTACGAGCGTGGCATCACATACTCCCCGGCAATGGAAGGAAGCCGGACAATTGATAATGCCTTGGAAACAAAATGGATATAGACAGATTTTCATTTACTACTTTACGCTGTAACGAGTCCCAAAAGAATTAAGTGTTTAATTTATTTACAAAAGGCCACGAAAATCTAGAAGAGCATGTAGGTTAATATACAACACTGGATGAAGAAACACTTTACAGCAAGAGTCAGCAAACGTTTTTCTGTAAAGGGCATATTTTCATCTTTACAGGTCCCGTGGTCTCTGCTGCCATCACCTAACACTGTCATTGTCGTGTGAAAGCAGCCATAGACAATATGTAAATGGCTGGGTGTGGCCGTGTTCCAATAACATTCTAGTTACAAAAACAGACAGTGGCATTCAAGCCATAGTTTTGTCACCCCTGCTTTAAAGGGATAAAAGCAAAGAACAAAATAATGAAGAAAAAAAGCCACTATCATTAGATTTAACTACATAAAAACGATCTATACACAAAATGTTAAAGCAAACACACACACACACACACACACACACACACACACACTCTGAGAAAGTGTGTGCATCATACATGACAGCACAGGGTTGACATCCTCCCCACCATTTTCATGCTGTCTCTCCTCCCTTTCTCTCCTCTGTCACCCACAAACATTACCCCGTCATTGAAATCAATTAAGAAAAAGAAACAAGCTAGTAGAACAAATGGAGACACAAAAAAATAGACAACTCGGAGAAATAAAGAAATGAATGCACAGTAAGCCTACGAATAGGTATTCAACCTTAAAATTCTCAGGGTGCCTGGGTGGCTCAGTCGGTTAACCATCTGACTTTGGCTCAGGTCATGATCTCAGGGTTCGTGAGTTCGAGCCCCAACATCAGACTCTGTGCTGATAGCTCAAAGTCTGGAGCCTATTTCAGATTCTGTGTGTGTGTCTCCCTCTCTGCCCCTCCCCTGCTCGTGCTCTCTCTCTCTCACTCTCAAAAATAAATAAACATTAAACTTCTTAGTTATACATGAATTAAGACAACAGGACTATTTTCCCTATATTGAATCTGTCAGCTTTCTGTTCATCCAGCAGTGTCGATGAGCAAGGCAGAGGGGAGGCAAGGCTGGACACGGGCTGAGGGAGGTGCAAACTAACCAAATAAGCAATTTATACCAAAGCCTTGCAGATGTTTATATCGCAAATCTATGAACCTCGAATCTACCCAAAGTAAATAACCAAAGTCGTGACCAGATACTTTCATACGAAGATAAACAATGATAATCGCTATGGCATCATTTATAGTAGCAAAAATTGGAAACAACCTGAAAATCCAATCATAGGGAGTGGTTACGTACATTTTGGTACATTCAGACGAGGGAGATTGAGGGCGTCATTAAAAATCTCCTTTGCAAAGACCGTATTAAGACAATAAAAAACTGTCGACCTCTAAGCAACATCTGAGTCAACCGACAGACCTTTCTTCTAAAAATGCCTCCCTCAAAAAAAAATAAAAATAAAAATAAAAAATAAAAATAAAATAAAATAAAATAAAATAAAAATGCCTCCCTCCCTAGGCTTCTGAGATGCCACACCACCCTAGGTGTCTTTCTTCCACCTGGCAGATGACTACTGGTCCCCTTCCTTCTCTTCTTGGCTCAGCACATAGCATCTGAGGTGTCCCAGGGCTTTCTCTTGGTTTGGTTCTTTGCTCCATCTACCTTGCTATTACTATGGGCACAAAGTCATTATAGTTCTTCTGTGTCTTAAATGAAGTGATACCTCATTGTGGCTTTGATCTTCATCTGCCTAATGAGGAGTGATGTTGAGCATCTTATCATGTGTCTGTTGGCCGTCTACAGGTCTTCTTTGGGAAAATGTCTATTCAGGTCCTCTGCCCATTTTTCATTGGATCGTTTGGGCCTTCTGCTATCGAGTTGTATGAGTTCTTTATATATGTTGGATATTAACCCCCTATCTAATACATAGTTTGCAAACACTTTCTCCCACTCCGTAATTTGCTTCTTCTTTTGTTGACTGTTTCTTTTGCTGTGGATAAGCTTTTGGGTTTGATATAGGCCCACCTGCTTATTTTTTCCTTTTGTTGCTTGTACTTTTGGTGTAATATCCCCCAAGAAATGAGCTAATATTTTCTTTTTTTTTTTTTTAATTCTTTTTCAACGTTTTTTATTTATTTTTTGGGACAGGGAGAGACAGAGCATGAACGGGGGAGGGGCAGAGAGAGAGGGAGACACAGAATCGGAAACAGGCTCCAGGCTCTGAGCCATCAGCCCAGAGCCCGACGTGGGGCTCGAACCCACGGACCGCGAGATCGTGACCTGGCTGAAGTCGGACGCTTAACCGACTGTGCCACCCAGGCGCCCCTGAGCTAATATTTTCTAACAGATAATACATTACATTAAAAAAAAATAGGTATGGATAAAAGAGCCATTCAAAACGCAAAGCCACCAATGGATTTTAACATAACAAAGTTAAGAAAAGCTAAAACTTCATATGGTTTCAGATTCCACATTGAGATTAATCATCAAGAAACTATCACCTGTTGGGACGCCTGGGTGGCTCAGTCAGTTAAGCGTCTGACTCTACCTCAGCTCAGGTCATGATCTCACAATTCGTGAGTTCGAGCCCCACATCAGGCTCTGTGCTGGCAGTGCAGAGCCTGCTTGGGATTCTGTCTCCCTCTCTGTCCCTCTCCTGCTTGCTCTCTATCCTTCTCTCAAATAAAAATAAACTAAAAAATAAAAAATAAAATAAAATAAAATAAGAAAAAACTACCACCTATTGAGTTTAGTTGAGCATTAAAGAATATCCACAATTATCTGAAAAGGCAATTAAAATATTTCCTCTATTTTCCAACATATCTGTGTGAATTAAGATTTTGTCCATTTACTTTAACCAAAATAATATATCACAACAGAGAGAAGCAAAAGCAGATTAAAAAAAAATCCAGCCACCTTCTTTTAAGCCAGACCTTACAAAGATTTGCAAAAGTATAAAACAAGGCTACTCTATGTTTTTTGTTTTGAGAAATATCAGTATTTTTCATAAAAACATTTATGTTAACATGTGTGGTGGTTTTGGAACATGCCCACCATTTCTCCTCCCTTCAAGAGGTGAAGCCTAATCCCCCTACCTTTGAACAATTTAGTGACTCATCTCTAATGAACACAATATGGCAGAAGGGATGATATGTGACTTAAAAGTCTAGATCATAAAAGGCATTGTGGTTTCCCCCTTGCTCTCTCGGATCACTCACTCTGAAGAAGGCCAGCCGCCATGTTCCGAAGACACTCAAGCAGCCCTGTGAGGAGGGTTATATGGCAAGAATCGGAGGTCTCCTGCCAAGAGCCATGTGAGTGCGCCATCTTGGACACAGCTATTCCAGCTCCATTAGGCCTTGGGGTGTCTGCAACCTTATGAGAGACTCTAAGCTAGAACCACCCAAGCTCCGTTGGCCCCAGATTCTTGATCCACAGAAATTGTGTGAGACAGTAAGTGTTTATTGTTTTAAGCTGCTAAATTTTGGGCTCCTGTACTATGTAGCAATAGATAACTAGATAACTAGCGTCTAGATAACAATAGATAACTTGGTGTTTATGGTTTAATGAGCACATGTTTATTTTAATTACTCAGCTTTCATTTCTAGTGGTAAATATCAATACAGAACCCAGGTAAACAAAAGCTCTTAAGATTTCTCAGTTTTTAATAATATAAAGGGGCCCTGAGACCAAAAAGGTTGAGAACTATTGCCCTAAGCTTTTTGGCCATTGCCCCTTTATTAAACTTTTCTCAAACTACCTCATGTCAGGGCACCATTTCTTTCCTATCAGGACCCTGAGTAATAGGAAAATACCAAAATGTTACTGATAGTTGTTGCTGTTTTGGGTATCTTGATTTTACTGTCTTAATGGGTTTTTTTTTTTTTCTGTACTTTAACAATTTCCTACAAGGATGAATGATCTTTATAATTAAGAGAAGAAAAACTTCCCTTTTGAAAATCATCAAAAGTGAAAGTCAGACCTGTATTTCCTTTGGATGAGTCGACCGTTTAAGCACAACATGCAGAGGCCAGATGTCTGTCGGTGCACCTGCGTGCCGGGGAGAGGTCCGAAGGGCAGATGGTGGATGAGGGGCCAGTAGCCACAACACCTGCCCCCCCAACAACCTCAGCCAGACTGGCTCTTTCGCGCATGTTACACATTGAGTTTCTGCATAATTTCACATAAAAGTTTCCACTGCTTGAAAAAAAAAAAAAGTTTGAAAACCTTTACCGTGAGAATGAATAACAGTTGAAGAGTTAAAATTAGGCTATAGAAGAACCACTCAAACTTTTTTTGGGAATGTGAACAGAGTTTCCATAAAGAAAATCCTGCACATTCTGAGAGAACAGAAGCCCTGACAACTTAACAAATGTTCGGTGGTTTCAACAGAGGCTCGCTCATGTGGCCATGGAAAAGGCCTTAAGGCCCTGGGAGAGACAGATCAGAACCACAGGTGAGTGGCTCTCTCGTTTTCTCAGGAAAATCCAAAGCCGGAGATGCTAAAAGCACGGACTTCGGAGACACCAGATCTGGGTTCAAGTTCCAGGTCTGACACTAAAAACTTAAGAGATCTTTGGCAAGTGACATAGCCAAACTGAAGTTGGAGAACGCAAAATGGTACAGCCATTTTGGAAAACAGGTTAGCGGTTTCCTAAACAGAAATTTGCCATGTGACCCAGCAATTCCATTCCCAGGTAACCACCCAAGAGAAATAAAAACATACATCCGCACAAAGACTTGCACACAACTGTTCTTAGCAGCATTATTCATCATAACTCAAGGTGGAAGCGATCCAAATGTTCCTCAACCGGTGAACGGAGAAACAAAATGCGGCATATCCACACAATGGAATACTAAAGGGCGATAAAAGGAAGAAAGTCCTGATACATGCCACAACCTGAACGCACCCTGAAAACATTACTCTAAATGAAACAAGCCAATCGCAAAAGATCACATATTAGCTGAGTCCATGTACGTGGAACATTCCAGAAAAGGCAAAGATACAGAGGCAGAAAACAGACTAGTGGTTGCCTGGGGCTGGGGACAGGAGTGACTACAAGTGGGCACAAAGTGTCTTTTTGGGGTGACGGAATGTTCAAAACTCGGGTTGTGGTGATGAGAGCACAACTCTGTAAATGTCCTGAAAATCATTGAATCGCACCCTTAAAATGGGCACATTCTGCGATATGTAAATTAAAACTCAATAGAGCTGTTTTTAAACAATGGGATTTGACTCTCTACCTCAGAGGGTTGTTGTGAGGATGAACTGAGATGACGTCTGATACATCATCAAGTAAGCACTCGATAAATACTAGTAATGATGACAATCGGTGTATATACTAGTAACGGATTATGTAAGTGGAGACCACGCATAATGCAGAATTGCAACAATTTATAGCACTTATCTACTCCTTAGCATGCCACTCCAACATCTGTAAAGTCGATTTAACCCCAGAACAACTTTTTTTTTCTTTTTTTTAACGTTTTTATTTATTTTTGAGAGACAGAGCGCAAGCAGGAGAGAGGCAAAGAGAGAGGGAGACACAGAATCCGAAGCAGGCTCCAGGCTCTGAGCGGCCAGCACAGAGCCCGACGCGGGGCTCAAATCCACGAACCATAAGATCATGGCCTGAGCCGAAGTCGGACGCTTAACCAACTGAGCCACCCTGGCTCCCCAGCTCCAGGACAACTTTCTGAGGCAGGTGTATTATATCATCTTCATTTTCACAGACGGGGAAACTGAGGCCCCAAGAAGTTTAGTAACCTTCCCACGGTTGCACAGCTGGGACACAGCAGAGGTGGGATCTGAATCCTGGAGAAATGGCTCTGGAGTGCCTACTCTTGGCCACGACACTGCACAGCCTCTCAGTAAACGCCAGCTTGTCTATTCAGTTACTGCTCTCACTGGCGGTGCAGTGGGGTGCAGAGAAGGCTCACAGACAGCTCCCCAAGACTCAAGACCCAACCCCTAGGGTTACAGGAGTCAGGGGAAAGAGTGTTCCAGACAGAGGGGTCTGCATATACAAAGGCGGGGAGGTAAGAGAACCGAGGGCGTATGGGAAGAACAGGAGATGGCTGGAGGATGGGGCGATGCTGGGCAGAGGGCACCTGAGGGTGGGATTCAGGCAGGTCCAAGGCCAAGGAGGGTCCCTGGTGCCCGGACGTTAGCCTGAAGGCAATGCAGAGCCAGAGAAGGAAATACAGAGAGTCCCTCCCCAACGCTGCCTTTCTCTGGGTCGACTCACATTGCCCTGGCAGGTGGAGAAGGTTGACTCAGCCACTGCTGTGAGCTGAAGGGAGCGGGGGAGCTGCCACCCCCATTCCCATCCCGCCGCGAGCTGACGCCCCTGCAGCCTCCCCAACAGCAGCTCTACCGGCACATAGAAACCATCGCAGCCAGCTGGGAGCAGCGGGCTCTGTCATGCTGCCAGGGAGCTGAGCGTAGCCCGGCCAGACTGCCGGCTGCCTGATGGAAGCTTCACGCCCCTGCCCAAACCCAGCCGCCTGAGGACCCCGGGGGGACCGCTCACCCCACCCCACGGCCCACCACAGCGCCCAGTATGCTGGCCGTCCACCCTCGCTCGGCTGGCCCCAGGGGCCAGCACTTTGCTCGTTCAAATTGAATACACATGTCCTTGCCTCCGGCTCTTCCATTTTCCCACGTCCGTCCTTGAGACACAGCTGCCTGTGTGCACGGAACGTTCACTTGGGCCAAAGCAAAACTACTGAGGAAGCCTCCATGCCTATCAATGAGGAACCAGTTCAAAAACTCCGCTGATGGGGTGCCTGAGTGGCTCAGTCGGTTGAGCGACTGACTTCGGCTCAGGTCATGATCTCGCAGTTCCGGAGTTCAAGCCCCGCGTCAGGCTCTGGGCTGACAGCTCGGAGCCTGGAGCATGCTTCGGATTCTGTGTCTGCCTCTCTCTCTCTTTCTCTCTCTCTTTTTCTCAAAAATAAATATTAAAAAAAGATTTTTGTTTAAATTCTGGTGAATCCATACCACGGAATACTACACAGCAGTTAAAAAGAATAATACAGATCTATTATCCTGGGGTACCGGCATGAAAACACCTCCAAGACACGTTGGAGAAACGTGGGTGGAAAAACAAATTGCAGAGTAACGTAACCAGTGTATCATCATTTGGGTAAAAACAAAACAAAAACAGGGGCGCCTGGGTGGCTCAGTCGGTAAGGCGTCTGACTTCGGCTCAGGTCACGATCGGGCGGTTCATGAGTTCGAGCCCCGCGTCGGGCTCTGGGCTGACGGCTTGGAGCCTGGAGCCTGTTTCAGATTCTGTGTCTCCCTCTTTCCCTGCCCCTCCCCCACTCGCACTCTGTCTCTCTCTTTCTCTCAAAAACATAGGAACATTAAAAAAACAAAAAAACAAAAAATCCCCAATTCGTGGCCTCTCGAATTCTCCAAGTCTACAAACACACAGGTAAATGAGAAAAGCACCTGGAAGGAAACACATCAAAGTAACAGAAAGAACGAAGAGGTGGAGGGAGGGACCCTGTGTATGCCTCTGTGTTGAGTTTTAGAAGAAGAATGTGTTTATGGATATTTGGGTTCTTTAAAAAGTGTGTTAAAACACCCACACACACACACACACACACACACACACAGAGGGGAAAAGCGGGTTAAAATGCCCACCACCCTGGGGCTGCGTTCAGCGTCACTTTTCAGACAGCTGTCACATTCAGCATCTTGTCTAATTCTTGCCACACCCCCCCCCTTGAGGACAAGGTTCAAAACTCCATTTTACAGACCCAGAAACTGGACCAGAGAGGTTGTAACAAGCCGCTCCAGATTGCGCGCAAGGCCAAGGGGGCTCGCGGTCCTGGCCCCGAGCCCAGGGCTCCTTCTCAGCGGCACGTGGGCGCCTATGAGGGTGTGGGGCCCACGCTGGGGCCGGGCAGGCGCCCCTGTTCTGAGCTGTCAGCCAGCTCACAGAGCCCCTTCAGGGAGGGGAGTGGGGCTTTGTCAGGGAAAGAGGGAAGAAAAGACGAGTGGCAAAAGAAGAGATGATGAACCGCCACCCACGACAAAAATCAGACATCATTGATGTGTCGCCCACTGAGTGGGATGGGTCTGCCGCGTCACCCAGCAAATCTCGTGTGGGAAGGAGCCTCGCAGGGCCGGTCCCCCGAGCCTGACATTTCAAGCCTCTCCCTCTCTCTCTCTCTCTCTCTCTCTCTCCCCCCCCCCCCCCCCCAGGCTGCTCACCCCAGGCTCTCAGCTGCGCGGTTTCCAGCTGAGTGGTTCCAGGAATGCTTCTGCTCAGTTCCCAGAACACCATAGCCGGGGCAGTAGAAATGTGCTTCTCAGAAGGTGCTAGAACCTGAGGAGCAATGTGCGAAAAACCCAACACCCTCTAGTGAAAGTGCCGTCCCTCTTTCAACAACTATTTTAGCACCACGTGTCTGAGGGGGTGCAGAGGCAGGAGGAGGCCGGAGGGACCCAGGAAGCATGGCTAGGCCTCTCCAGGGACAGCCAGAAAGGACTCCTGTACAGAAGGAGGGGACTGGAGGGGGCACAGGACACATACGCAAACCTCAGCTGCACAAGGACCGGGCACGTTCAGAGAAGAGAGCTTTGGTCAAATCATGGATCCTCCAGTCATTCATATAACCGGAAACAAACCCACGAGGCCATGAGACCAGCGACAACAGCTGGCATCCTGAGCTTTCTGGTCCCAGCTTTGCCACCTTGGTCAAGGCTCTGAACCTCTCTGGGTCTCAGTTTCCCTATCTGTAACATGGGTGCCTATTACACGTGTCTTTAGGGTATTGTGATATCTGGATGGAGGACAGATAATACCATAATGAAGTCAAATGTAACAAGTACAGGGTATCCATAAAATCTGGAAACGGATTCTATGAGTGTATCTATATGTGTTCGTGTTCATTTGTTTGTTCTATGTGTGTTCGTGCTCATTTATTTGTTCGCTTTATAGAGTGAAAATGTCCTAGACAACATTGTATATATTTGTCCGTTTCTAGACTTTATGAACACCCTATGTATAAACATAATTACACATACAAATAGTACATTAGACAAACGTTATATATATATATATACATATTCATTATATAAATATAATGAAATAAACTATAGTCATAACACAATAAAATAAAGCATACTAATAACTCCTCACACAGAATGAGGGACTATCCATGCCCAAGAACTCGGGGATATTCCCTCATTTCATGCTCACAGCAAGGCCTTGCAGCGGATACTAGCATTTATCCCCACCTTACAGAGGGGC